CGACCTTCCTCAGGGCGTAATGCGCGGAGATGTCAACCGGCACACGGGTAGAGGAGAAACCGAGCCCTGTTTTAACTCGTGCGCAGTACATCTCCGCGCATTACGCCCTGAGGAAGGTCGCAGAATGGCGACCGAACCGTCGGCATCTTCACCATGGTCGCGGCGTCACCCGGACAGCCGTGTTAATACTGACTCCGGCCGCGGAAGCCTACGCTCTCAAGAAATTAACTGGTATTATTGATTGATTGATTGATATCAATAAGATGTTTTTTTCTAAAACAAATGTTGATTTAAGTGGATTTTTTGCAATGGCAGCTGTCCCACCTCGTTGGAGGAGGTGAGGACGATGCAGCTCTCGCGCACCACCATGGCGCACGTGTGGCGCGTCATGTGGCGACGCGTCAGGTTGCCGAAGATGGCGCCCATCTTCAGTTCGGCGAGCGACTCGTTCCCGGCGCTTATCACCTGCAGTTGGCAGGGATTACGTTTCATGCAGCGCCGACTCCCCAAAAGTGTAAAATTGAACTACTTTTGAGAAAAAAACGAAGGATACTTCATTGTTTTAAAAAAGTAAAACCAACAATTGGTAGTTCTCTAGTGTGTTTATGTGAAAATCACTCCGTATTTATGTATTTGTTGATGTGGTTTGATAGATTGATGTTTCCGTCGCGTCAACTGCTTTGGTCATTAGTTGCGTTATCCGACTTCCAAACGTGTAAAATTGAACTACTTTGAGGGGAAAAAACGAAGGATACTTCATTATTTAAAAAAAAGTAAAACCAACAATTGATTGTGCCCTGGTGTGTTAATGTCAAAATCACTCCGTATTTATTTATTTGTCGAAATGGTTTGATAGATTGATGTTTCCGTCGCGTCAACTGCTTTGATCATTAGTTCCGTTATTGTAGTTGTTGAGGCGGCGAAATCCGTTAAGAAAAAGTTGGGAGAGCAATTAGTAGAATCTGCAACGAAGCATCACCTTTTCTATCAGTTATTTTTTTGTCAGACAAGAGTGTTCTGGAAAAGAGACGACACACTATTAACAAAGATTGTTACTTGGAGAGAGAATTAACGAGTATTGAAGAAAGTGTCACAGTTACCTCTGCCCAAACGAAATTAAACCTTTCTTTACGAATTTCGTCGCTTTTACTTCATGTTACAACTGCATCCAATGTCTGGCACACCCTGAATTGAACCTTGCAGGCGTTCAAAACGTTTTCACTAAGCTTTCTGCATCTCGCCTCTGATGACAATGCGAGCTGGCGTCCGAGGTAGAACTGGAAGCAACTGACAATCTACGTCCAGTAACTTTGTTCGAAAGAAATGATTATTTGGTCAACAGAGAAGAAATTCGCGCGGCTTTTTGAGAAAAATTAAGACTACACCTTCAAAGAACATCAAAAATGCCCTGCTAAAAACAAGGCGCGACAAATTTCAAGCAATTTGGCGGTCAATGTGCCAACGGTAGTGAATGTTTCATTGTATTGAATGTTGTATAGCGGTGTTCCTTTCCCGCTGGATGGTGAGGTCCGGCGCAGACTGGTTTTCTCCCACCAGCGGGGCACCGCCCCAGTCGACTGAGGCTCTCTAAGCTCTCGACTGATGTCCCGCATGTGTGGTAGTGCAGTGCATGTAAGTGTGTGTAAGCAAGGGGGAGAGATTAAGACAAGAAAGAAGAAGGACAGATCGCGTGCGGTTCGTAGCCGATTAGTTAGGGTTCCGCTCCTGCGTTCGCCGGGTGTTGATCGGAGAAACTATCAAAACTACCGATCAGAGTAGCCGTCAGCTAAAATTCTCGTCCAGGCAGGGTCGGAATTCGACCTAGCTATCTAGCTAATATTGAAAATACTACACGTGTGGGGACTCGAACCCTAGGAGCCGATCAGAGGCAATGCAGTGACATCAGGTGCTGCCCTCAGCCACCTAAGCCGGAAAGGTAATGTAGTGCGTGTAAGTGTAAGTACGAGGGACGTTCACAGGCGTCTCCGGGAGAGAGTTTAAGAACTGTTCACGGACATTTTATCTGATTACCGGCGCTGGCAACGCCGCTCAATGAGGAGCCTAACTACCTCCTTACTCGATACCTGAGAGGAAAAAGGGCTCCAACATTCAGGGCCATTCCAAATGCACATTGTGTAGTGGACTGAAAATGAGCTCCGCAAGAGAGTTGAGAGATAAAGAGATACAAGTTTGGAGCTCTAGACGCAGGTCCTCACCAGACACCTCTATGAGCCCTCTCTCTCCCAACTCCCGTGCGGAGGTGGTTTTCAGTCCACTACACAAAAAGCATTTGGAATTGCCCTGAATGTTTAAGCGCTTTTTCCTCTTAGATATGGCCTAAGGAGATGATCAGGTTCCTCATTGAACGGCTTTGCCAGCGCCGGTATTCAAGTCGAATGTCCTTGAAAACATTTTCCTCTCACTTCCGGAAGAAGATAGGAAAAGGAAGAGGAAGGAAATATCTTTTGCGATCTTTGGCCAGTTTGTTAGTGTTAGGAACATAAATTGGTGCTAGACCCATTTCCAACAAACTCTCTACGTTTTTGACATTTGCAAAAAGGTTACATTGGAAAACTAGACATTTGAAAAAAATATGTTTTTGTATTAAATAAAATCTGTTATAAAAACTCAGTACTTTAAAAAAGGTCATATCCAACATTTCTTTTGAAAACACGAGTAATTTTCGCACAATTTCTGCTTGAATGTTATGTATATTATAAAAATAGATGTTTTCTCAAGAACCGCTCCAAGTTTTTTCTTCAAATGTTTCACGGATAAATCAAAGGACTCTTAAAAGAATGACGCTAGTCTAGTTTTCTTTGAACTCCCTGAAATTCGAAAATTGCAAAAGTGCGATTATTAAATGCGAAATAGCACCACCAGTTTCGTCTACACATCAGCATTGACACACATTTTCTGACTGCTCTCAGAAACTTCAGACTGCTGTCAGAAATTGCGGGTATAGTCCTCAGTACACCATCTCACCATTGAAGCTCTAACAGCTGCCGACTTGTCTCTCGACATGAATGGCAGAGGATGTAAGTGGATGGCAGTGTGTGTATGTTTGAGGGGAGAAACTGGAGTAATGATGAAGGTCAAATCGCGCGCGGACCCTGATTCCTTTTTAGTATACTTCTCTCACATTTCTTCTAACATTTATCGAGAGGCTACGGAAAACCAGTTATCTGACCGACATGCTGCCAAAATGACCTTCCAGACAACAGCTGAATTCAACCCCTTTCGAATGTACAACCAGTCGAAAATTCGCCGTCATACGCAATGAAACCGTAGAATCTATGGGTGAACGATGCCGCAAAAGCAACGGTGTTGCCCTGAGCTGCCGCTAGCAGCGCTGCCGTCACCTCGATGGTGCCGCTTCCCAGGAGGAAGATGCTTCCCTGCACGTCGTTGACTCGCACGATGAAGCGGCCCTCGTTGAACAGGTGGATGTCCATGAGGCGCGACAGCTCGCGCAGCAGGAAGTTGTGCGCGCCTTGCAGCGGCGTCACCCGCTCGAACATGTTGCGAAAATTGTAGTAGATCATGTCGGAGTGCATCATCGGCGGCACCTGCAACCGCCACCGGGCAACTTATTTCTTTGTTTATATATTTACTTCAGAAACAATTATAAACTGTGTGTGACGTGCTATGCATAGAAGTTAAATTGAAGTTACATTTATTTACTCCTGCTAGTGATAATAATATTTTCGCTGACGTAATCCGTCGTCCTTCAAAGGAAGGCGCGGAGTTAATGATTCCACAACTCCTAGAAGGCAACATTAACTCCCTTGGGAGTCCGGTGTCTTCGGGATTTATAATCTGCCTTGTGCAGTGTCAATTAGCAAGTTACTGCAACTTCTACTGAGCTAGTTCTGCTAGTAATAATAATGACAATGATAATAATAATACAAATAATAATTATAATGTAATAATAATAATAATAATAATAATAATAATAATAATAATAATAATAATAATAATGTCCAGAAGCAAAACAAGCTCCCATCTCAGCATTTGCTCAAGGATCAGGTAAACTGGAAAAAAACCTGATCGAGATGGCGGTCATTGACCCAGAAGCTGAAGTACACTACTTGTTACAGGTTCTTTAGAATTAAACAATCGAAATGGTAAATAATACACTAAATTTCGTTGTTAAAATTAATGTGCCGACTAGTACCCAATCGTCTGTGTAGAGAACGACCTCTTCCAACCTTCGGACAAGTTGATCCAAATTACTGTTTATGTTTGTGGAGGCTTGCAGGTCAGCTTTGAGGGTGTAGAGTGTAAAAAAAGAGTAGAACGATTTGTAGACATGTCACGAATGCGTCTTATTATACGAGATAAAATTGAAAAAAAAAAACAAGAAACTCAGATAAGAGTAACAAGCAAATAGCTTAATATTTTAAACGTGTAAAGTTTATATTCAATAAATTAAAAATTATTATTCGATAACATAATCAAAAAGTATGTTATATCCAAAATCGATTGAAAGCTAGTACTTACGAAATTTGTCAATACTCACCGCTTTGACAGCAAAATAAAATGAGTGGCAAAAATCAGTTAAAATGACATAAAATCAATTAGTATCCAAATAGGCGCGCAGGTTCTATGCCAGTTCACTCACACACGCCTCCGCAAGTGCTTGTACCTTGGAGAGCACGTCCGTGACGTCGAGTCCCCGGCGCCGCCTCCATATCATGTCGACGGCCTCCACGGCCAACTTCACCAGGTAATCGTCCACGCTCTCCCGCTTGAGGAACAGGCGCAGGTGCTTGAGATTGTTGCGCGAGTGGGTGATGCGCCAGCGCATGGCCGCCATGACGCTCGCCACCTACGGATGAACGTTTCGTGTATCCTCCAATTTGAGACGGATGCTTCGGGAGTTGTAGCACACATGCGTACGGCCAGTGTGGCTTCTGGAACACTAGACAAGACACCGCGTGTACGCGCGTTTGCTGAAATACCGAAGTCTTTAGTCAAAAAGGAGAATGTAAATTGGATCAAACCAGGAAACCACGCCAATTCTGTAATCGAAAAAATCAGTTTAATGAGATTCATGCGAAACAATATAGCCCAATGTGATTTTCGACGCATAAACAGTTAGCCCTCTTGTTTTTGGAATATTTAAGTGTGAGTTTGATTAAAAATGTCGGGATGAGACGAGATTGCAGGATGGGTCTCAATAAAACCCTGTCAAAATACATTAAAAGTACTCATTCTTGCAGTTTGGCCAATAGCCAGAAAGTTGTCTCATTCTCGTTTTATTGTCCATTTCCAGTTTTGTGCACCGGTATATTCGGACATGATTATCTATGCATGGTGGCTGGTACAAACTGCATCAGCACATACTTGCTCGAATTAATTCTAAATCTGTACTGTTTCGAAAATTCAGAAAGTTCAACGAACATTATATTAGCGCAGTCCTTTTAAATGTCCGTTCTTCTATCCATATAAAAACTTTTGAGTGGTTTTTGAGAATTTTTTAAATAAATTTCATTATTTTCAAGCACAAATTACGCGAAAATTACTTGTTTCTTCAAAAAATTGTACATTATCTGTTTTAAAGAGCGAATGTTTAACAACAGGCGTTGTTTAAGGCAAAAATACCTATCTTCTATTCTGTAGTATTGAAATATTAACTTTATCTAAGTTTCGAAAAACTGATAGTCCACCGAAAATGGCACTAGCATGCATGCTTTCCGTCCCTTTGACACCAGTCGTAAAACTGCCCGCACGCACCACCAGCCCCCACCCACTGGCGCCCCGTTTTCAATTTTTTTAAAATTAAAGTGCTGAATTCTACCATCACTGATAATAAACTCTACTTATAAGCAGGTGCGTCGTGAGTCCGCTCACCGAGGCTAGCATCCAGTTGCGCACGAAGAACGTGAGAATGGACAGGGCTAGCGTCGCCCTGATGCCGCTCGCATGGAACAAGAAGAGGCCTTCGGTGCTGGTCGTGTAGACGACGATGGTGTAGTAGAGGTGCACCAGGTATACCTTCCCCAAAAGAAGAGAGCGTGCTTGTGAGAAGAAACACGAGAGTAGAAAAGATTTATTATGTTCTGTATAGAACATCACATCAAGGTCATATTCATAATAATTTGCGTTTATAACTTAATAAAACAGAGAAGAGATTTACAAAAAGCGGCAGCAACCTTTTGTCTACTTTAATACAACAAACAACACATTGATAGACACAAGGCGGGGAAAAACCATGCAGCACGTCTATGAAATTGTATGTGCTTTCTGGAAAAATCTCGAATTTGGACTACTTCGGTTCTTGTGAGAAAGCCTTCATTTATACAGAATTTTGTAAATGGGTGTACAGGTACGTAGGTACATAATTAATCATATGTAGCCAATTGTACCCAAATAAATATTTTATTGCATTATTATAAAGCCGAGAAGATAGTCCCAACTGAAAAGAAAGAATAAGTAGTACGGTCTGTGCTAAAATGTCTGCCCCCTTTTTAGCACAATTAGTTTAATTTTATAATGCTCGTTGATGACCTTGATGTTAATGCCATCTTGAAAAAGGTTTTCAACAATCTCTCCTTTCGGATTAGTACCTGCAGTGGTGTCTTGACCGCATTCCGGAGGAAGTTTTCGCTGAGAACGTCCTTAAATGAACACTTTATTATAATTGTTTCGAAGTAAAAGACTCCTTCGCCTTCCGTAGTCACCTTGAAGAAGAGATGTCTAATTATTGTTTAAGACAATTAAGTTTTTATTTTTTAATATATTTCGTTAATTTAAAAAGTTAACGAATGAATAGTATGTTCTGTAGAATCTGTAATTATCTATCTATCTGTCTATATATATATATATATATATATATATATATATATATATATATACGTGATATATTTACATGAAATATATATATTGTTTTTTAATTTGCTCTTTTGGCATGCCTGAATTTTCTATCGTCACACAGCTGGAGAATCTGAGATGATTTGTATCAAGCTATGTATAATCTATAGCTTCATTTCTGCACCTCACATTGGAATAAAATGGATTAATTCTTGGCCAAAAGTCAAAATTGCCGCTTTACATGAAATTTGTGTATTTTCAGGAGTGTGTCGTATAAATCGAAATGACCTATTCATTGTGTAGCATTCAGCGGAGATAAAAGAGACGCAGGAATATGCAGTTCTCGATTATATTGTCAGAGCATGCTTTGGTAATAATGTCTCTCAAGACAGTTTAATGAATTTGAAGATAAAAACAAAAGATTTCTACGACAAACTTAATAGAAAATGACAGGAAGGTCACCGATCTCTAAACACGTTCTTATCAAAAAATTCTGAATGGCTTTCATGGGATTTCGTGTTCGTGCGTAGCACATCAACTGAATCACATGAAAACAAATCTCTAACAGCGTGACCTCTTCCTTCCTACGATGAGAATTCTGAGAGGTCCAAACAAAAAGTGGATGCAAAATTGTCCTTTGAAAACGACTATGAGGCAAATTATGTAGTAAAAGCTGCCAGCATATCGGCTCGAGCTTCGGGGAAGAGAGATATAGCTGTTGTTCCAGATCAAGTCACTGAAACTCCAACCAGACCATCGAAATTTGTTAAAAAAATCTTATGTAAATCTCAAAACAAGAAACTACCAGTAGCATTATCCTATTTGTTCGATAACAAATTGAGCCAAGAACAATATATAAACACAAGATTACTATATAAGACCCACAATGCAGATATTTTCCCATCATACGAAAAAGTGAAACGAGCCAAAGCACCCTACAGACCTTCAGGCTTACAGGTCACAGATAAGAGGAACTAGAGTACCCTTAACAGTCCCTGTTAAATCATACAGTAAAGAGAATAGTTTTCTCCAAGAAGATGTGATTATTTACCAAAAAATGTTAACTAATACAACAGTCTGTAATGCACAGCTAATTTTCAGTTACGGGTTTGATGGGAGCTCCGGAGAAAGTCTCTATAAGCAAATTTCTTCTTCACTTTCTGAATCATTGGAATCGACGATATTTGCCACAACATTTATTCCCTTGCGCCCATTAAATTCCAATAGCATTCTATGGAACAATCAAGACACCTCAGTCAGTCACGTTCTGGAGATCAATTAAAGTGGAATATACAAAGGAAACGAGCAAGCATGTTAAACATCGAGAAAGACGAGCAGGTGATAATGGCTGAACATAAAGATGATGTAACGTATATGCTCAGAAAATTAGTAGAAGAGTATGGAAAATGGGGAATGGAAATACTGAATGTACTAAAGTCTGAATATATGGTGGTGGGAGATATGCCCCATGATTTGGAGACTGGTATAGGAATAATTAAAGGTAATATACAATATAAGTATTTGGGAGTCACACTAACAGCAGACGATAGAGACGAACAGGATGTGAAAAATAAAAATACAAGAAGAAAAATAGCCACAAGACAGTTGAATCTAGTACTATGGAACTTAATTATTGCAATGAAGACAAAGAAACGCATATATAGCTCCTTCATAAAAAGTACCAAACTCTATGGGGCAGAAGTCTGGACACTTACAAAAAATTTGAAAGACAAACTTCAATCAACAGAAATGATGTTCTGGCATACATTTTGTAAACTTTCTCTGTTAGACAAAATAAGAAATGATGACATAAGAAATAAAATGCAAGTGCAAACAATCTTCAAAGAGACGATCGAAATGAAACCACTAAAATGGTATGGACAGATGGGAAGGTTGAAATTGGATAGACTTCTACAAAACGTTTGGAAGTGGATACCAAATTCAAGAAGATAAAGGGGAAGACTAAGAAGAACGTGGAAGATGGCAATAACTGAAGCCATGGAAAAAGGAGAAATGAAGGAAAGCGATATATGGGATAAAGAGTCATGGAAATTGGGACGCGGAAAAAGGCCAAGGCTGTAAAAAAACTGCTAAATAGATAGATAGAAAAAAATTCATTGTGAGAGAAAGAAAACTCAACGAAGTGAAAATGGTACTTCGCAATAAACAGACTATATGGGTTATATATTTGACATTAATTGACGGTAACATTTTAATAATAACACGCAACAAATCTAGTCAAACCTGCCCATTTTGGGGCGTAAAACCTCAAATAAAGGATGGGACAGAATTTAACCCACTCGAATTTTTGCCTAAGACTGGTGCTTTACAATTTGGGGTACGCCCCTGCATGTTTGTATTCGGTTTTTTCAATGTGTTCTGCACATAGCTTATAGAATGGAATTAAAAGTTTGGCAGGTCAGATGTGATACAAATAAGTTTGTTGTGCAGACGTAAAAAAGCAATTCAAAAATTGTTTTTGGAAAAAATGCTTTTTCATGTGGATATGGTGAAAGATAATGTTAGCGGTTCGTCTAATGACGGAAACACTACACGACTTCTCAAAGCCTGTACTTTATTTCAGAAATTACTGGTGTTAATGAAGATCTAATTAAGAGGTTTAGGATTATCTTGATACCCATGTCTCCTCAATACAGCATTGACCCTGAATTATTTGGCAAGTATTGTACAGAGACTGCTGAAATATACAGAAAACTCTATGATTGATTTCCTATGCCTGTAAGTGTTCATAAAGTTATTGTATATGGTAATTGTACAACACATACTATAGCATAGTATGCTGCCACTTCGATGCCTTAAAAAGCTTCAGAATCCAGAAATAGAAGTATAAAAAGGACAAAGAGACGCACACAAGGAAAGACAACAGGATCCACAACTTAACAGATATTTTCAACAGAGCTTTGGAAATATCCGATCCCATCATTTCGGCTGTCAGCTTCCAGAAAAGAGTTCAAAATAATAAGAAAAAGAAACTTCCGTTTTAGGTCATCAAAATGCTCATTTGCCCTGCACCAGAATCAAATTCACATAAATAAATTGAGGAAATATCTGATCTTGTTCATGTATCTGATGAGGATACTATTGAATAGATACTTTCTAGAGATTAAAGTGAACAGTACTTAATATTAGTAATATGAATGAAGTATATTTATTTCACAACAATATGAAATCTTGTTAAATAAAAATATTGATGAATTAACTTCATAAGAAACATTTTCAGACTAATTATTAATTTACAGCAGTTTCAAAAATTGCACAAGTTAGATATAATCCAAGGAGCCATTATATTTTTAAAAGCTCAGGAAAGCTAAGTTTAATGGATGGGCTAAAGGAAATATGTTTAGCGTGTTGAAGTGAAGAACCTGTGTACGAATCTCGGAGTTGGGGGAAAATATTTTTCTTGTTTGGAAACAATTTGCAGATTAATGTTGTAGCATAATTATTGCTTAGCCATTTCTTCACTCATTAATTTCTGTATCAAGGACTCACAAAACATGGCTTCTGAGTCCACAACGTGTTAGTGCAAGTAACTTACTATATATAGTAAAAGATTTTATCCCCCTTTTCGGTATCAGGGCCTCACAATTCTCGTTTTTCTGTCGAAAAATCGCCGTTTTTTGACGCAACATTACATAACTTTCTTTAAACTAATTATACATATATTACTCCGTATGTATGTACGTATACGAGAAAGTAAAAATTGGAAAGTTTTGGGGAAAAGTTCCCAAATATCCTTGGGGCTTAATGTAATGTACGCCCTAAAACAGGAAGTGAAGGGCCGCGACATCTGTCAGGTCGATCAGGAAATATTCATTTCGAGAAAATTTCCTGGCTACATTTTGTATCCTAGTGTTGTTCACGCGTAGACAGAAGTACTGACATTTTATGAAAAACACTCATTCTGTGTTACTTTATACTACGTAACCGAGAATATAAAATACATTATGAGGATGGAAATATGAAAGAGACGGGAAACCATGGCGAACAGTATTAATATGTCTTTCTGACAGAGTATGAAAAATAAACCCAACTCAAAAGTTTTGCAGCTCGGCTACGTTGAAAATCAATTCACTTCCAAATAAGCAAATCATTGAATTTAGGCAATAGTTTTGTGGTTGTCTTTATTCAAAAAATCATTCGTCATCATATTACATTTAATGAAAGAATAAAACTGGTTTTGTATGCTTATTCTAATAATTTAGTTTTTATGATGATTTTCATCATCCCAGAATAACACTACACGCCGAAATTTGTTATCCATTCATAAAGTTCATCGAATCTTCTTCTTGGATTTATTTTAACAAAGCGTTCAAAAAGACAATAAAAATAAGTCACTATTGTTATCATCTATAAAAGGCATGCATGCGATTCAAAAGGAGCAAAATGGAGGACTTCTCAGTTTGTTAATGTAGAAGTTATGTAAGTGATATGTCCTCATTAGGCACCAATACATAACTTATCCACTTCTGTGTAGTTTTTTTTATTATATTGTTGAAATGTTCCTCTCGGTTTTTTTCATTCTTATTCTTCAATTATTAACGATTAAGTATTAATGCAGTCTGCCTTCCCTTACCTCGCAATGCCGGAACAGCAGGGCATTTGCAATCACGTTCATCACCGTAATGATGACGGCGATGCACTTGACGATGTTGGCGGTGAGGAAGCGGTAGGTCATGCGCGCATCCAGGTAGTCCATAAACACCAAGAAGCGGTATACTTGCAAGCAGCGTAATAGCCGCACGCAGTAACGCAAAAATGCAACGTTTGAAATCTTGAGAATATCGCCGATGGGAATGAACTCGAACGGGAAAAAGGACATGACGTCCACGAAAAAAGCGGTCTTCAGATAGTGCTTTATTGTGTAAGCGGGATGAGTGATGAGAATACCTTCCTCATTGTAGTATCCAATCTGTGGGAAAAAAAAAAGAATCTCTCAGCTTTAAAATAAGCGTGTGAAAATAAAAATAGTTTAAGGCTTAGAATCTTTTGATTCTCAAGATCATTCATCACAAAACAGACCAATAATAATGAAGCCTGTGGAGCGTGTGCCAGCGAAGAGGTAATTAGTGATGTTGTGGGGGTCAAGGTAATTGAAGCGCCCGCCTCCGCCAAACCAACTACCTAAAATAACCTGGCTTTGTGAGGGAATTAACTACTTTCACAAGTTATCTTGACGCCTGAGTTCTTTAGTCCTTGGCAAGCACGACGTAACACGGACTAATCTCACTGGGAAATCTACGGCAATATTGTCAGGCCGTTTATTTCTGAATGGGTAGTTTTGTTTTGAATGGATGTTCTTGCTTGTTTGTTTGCTGTCTCTTTGTGCAGTGTCTCAATTTCTCATTTGATTTTTCAATTTTTATTTTACTCCGGATAAAATTTTGAAAGAGATTACAGTAGTGCGGGAATATTACTTTTTGTTTGTTTCCTTATACTAAAGATAATAAAATTAAATATTTTTAATAGTAATTCACATGACAGACATTTGGGGTCGAAATAACTTTGTAACAAATATTTTACAGAAGTACAACATCTGTTGAAGAGGTTTTTCTGTGAGAGTTTAAATTCTCAACAGAAAATCCATCAACTAAAATCATCCAACTAAATTGAATTATTTTCAAGTTTTGTACAGTGCACATGCCGTCGATTAATTGTAAATTAATATAATTAGTTTATTTAAAAATGATACGACATTCTGGAATCTCTTATTTTAAGTATTGCTCGCTATTATGTCCAGATTATTTTGATGGTTCGTTTTCCATATTTGTAATGTTGTCATCGTACGCTCATGTTTGCATCTCTTTTGAAGATATGTTTCCATTTTGTTTATCTTACTGGTGTTTTATGTTTTAAGATTTTTTGTAAAAATTTGTATTCGTGTAATTGGATTTCTGTGATTTACTTTTGTGATTTCCTTTGAAATTGATGATTTTCTTTCCTTTGTTTTTTCTCGTAATACCGTAATTGGGGCTTTGCCTGTTGTGGGTAATTAAATAAATAAATAAGGACATACGTAAATTGGGGACCGACTACTTCATTCCCCTCCAGATACAAATGAAAAGTAACTAATTTCGAAGAACATTTTCATAGCCATCATTTTTAAAACACAACTCCCTTATTAATTTTCCAGACTTGGGATTGGCATATTTCTTTCGAGATATGATTTAGCAAAAGTTGGTTTTCATTTAATTGAATCAGTCGTTGATTGAACAATTTCTGCTCATCTTGCCATTTTTAAATTCTTCCTTTTTCTCTGTTAATACTCTACAACGCTGATCATGAAATTTGGACACTCTTCTAGTGCTTTCTTTGCCTTCATTTTGATGTAGGAGTGAGTCTGGGGGATTTTCAATACAGCACAAGGGTAATCTGAACGGCAGAGCAGCGGTTAACGTGTTTACCTACTCAATCAGTCCTTTTCCTTACCTGTCTTGGTTTGGTTTGCAATTTTTCTGCATAATTAGAAAGTAAGTTGCGAGAAAAGATGAAGGGATTATTTACATAATTTACATAGGGCTGCCTGCCCAGCTATTTTCCCTACAGCCACATTTGCTAACATCCAGTAACTTCGGGGCAAACTTCCAGTAACAGTATTTTCACCACAGTAATGATGCTAGTGGAATGAACTGAAACGCAGTTAGTAGGAAGTTGTTTGGGGTTTAAGAGACATTTCACGTTCTTTCGTTGATTTCCTCACCGTTTCCGAAATATTGACAGAAACGGAAAATTGCATGTGAATGATCTTGGCTCTCCAGGTGACGCCGCGTCGAAGGCTATGTCGCCGACGTTTCGACCATCGTATCGTGGTCTTCCTCAGGGCTGGGCTGGCCAAACGTCGGCAACACAGCCTTCGACGCGGCGTCATCCGGCCAGCCAAGATCATCCACAAGACTCCGGTCACGGAAGCCTACGACTTCAACATGTGCATAAATTTTGCCTTTATGGGTAGGAGAAGGGAATAGGGGGTACATTTTACGAAATCTCATCCAGAGAGTAACTTTCCGTTTGCTTTGAAGTTCACTTGTACATCATTTCATTAAGATCGGAATAAAATATTTGTGAGAAAAAAAACTAGCGGACAGACATTCTTATTTTTTATAAGAGAAAATGTTTCCTGCTTTGTAAGATTCATGACGTATTGTACATTATTCCTAAGAAAATGGCCAAATCTCGTTTAGAAGAAGTAAAAAATCAGAAGGTAATAAAACGTTACTTTTGGCGTAAATAAATAGAAGTCTTCATACATAAAACTAAAAAGCTCTTAGCCAAAACTTTGTTTTTTGAGGTAATCTTTCTTAGTTTTAGGACAGCGGAATATGTCTATTAGTAACTTTCGTTATTTCGACAAACCTAAATTCATTTGAAGAATGTTATCTAAGAAACATTAATCTCTAAAACGCATTGATATATAAATTACCGGACAGGACGTTTTTGGAAGGATTTCAAATATTTTTATGGGAAACTCATTTCAATGAATGTAATAATTGAAAATACGTAATTGTATTCAGGAAATCACGACGCCATTGCTGTGTTTCGTCCCAAGTAAAATGAAAGAGAAAAAAACAATAGTAAGCGTTCGACGCATAATCGAAACGAGCCCTCACAATGCTGTGGACACAGGATAAATTGAAAGTGTCCGCCATTGTAGGGGATGATTTGCACGCGAAATTGAAATCTGACTATACAATTTGCCCTCGTTTTCATCATTAACTTTGTTTTGTGGTGAATGTAACAGAAATAAGGATATAAAATGACAAAACACAATATTAGCTATATAGATCATACTTAGATAGGTGTTTTGTATGCCAGCTGATATTTTTCTTCAACAATACAGACATTGAAGGCTTCGCGTGAAAGGTCTTTGATATTTACTATTAATTAATGATTAAGGAACCACACAGATGTTTCCTTCGAAATCTTTCATTGTGAAGAATTAAACTGAGCGAACTTGTACTAGAAATTGCCCTTGCAACAATAAATTTATTCGTGCACTTAATATACACAACCTAACAACTCTTAACCATTATATTTTCATTCCGTTAAATAACACACGTATCGAAAAGAACATGTTATTCTACACAACTATCTTACCCCTATCATCGCCCCAAAGATGTCTATCCACTTCAGTGGCGACCTTCAAAACTTTCCGCAACGGCAACCGATGTTAGCGAGTCTAGTTGAATTTTCTATCGAAACGTCTTCGGACCGAAATGAAAACGTACCTGCATGCGCACGATGACGTCGGCGAAGCAGATGAGGTCGAGCAGCGTGCAGACGACGCGCGTGGTCAGGCTGTCGATGAACGCGCTGTAGGCGCACGGGTGCAGCAGGACTGCCAACATGGCGACGGTGACGCGCATGATCTCCCAGCGGAACACGAAGTCCGACGCCGGGTCCCAGGCCAGAGGTCGCATGCAGCGCCGCAGAAAGCGCAGGTAGGTCCACGCGCGCTCGTACTCCACCTGCGCGCGTCGCGTTGCCAGGCGGCTGCGGTCGCAGTGAATCGGTGATCGATTGCGTGATTGTTGGTGATTCAGGCCGCGCCGACGGCGAAGGTCATTAGTCCCGTAAGTATGGTGAATGCTTGATGGTCCGGAGGTGACCTTGCCCCGCTGGATGGGGAGATCTGGCGCCGTTCGTACCGTCGGATGGCGGGATTTTCCCAGCAGCGGGGCACCGTCCCAGCTCCCGAATGACATGTGTGGTAGTTCAGGGCATGTAAGTGTAACTGTGTGGGTGTGCGTGTAAGGTGCGTGAAAGATAAGAAATGGGAAGGAAAGATCGCGCGCGATACGTGGCCCGTTTGTTAGGGTACTGCTTCGGCATTTGCCTGGTGTTGATAGAACAAACAACGGAAAACTACCGATCAGAGTAGCCGACCGCTTTAATTCTCTTCCAGACACCGACATAACTCCACCTAGCTATCTAGCTAGTGTCGAAATTCCTGCTTTCGTCGGTACTAGAACCATAGGACCTCCCGGCCAGAGACACTGCAGTAACATCAGTTGATACCCTGAGCCACCTCTACCGGCAAGGTAATCTATGTAATTCACTTTACTTTTCTATTTTCTCTTTAGTACCCTTGAAGAGATGGGAGCTTATTAAATATTAGGGATACATTACCGTAGCTGTTCAGGATTTTGCATATCGAGGATGGCCTATCTTAAAACTAACGTATTTCAATGACTAATATTTACAGTGCCACTTTGGGCGAACTCTAGTTATAAACAGTGTTTAAAATATTTTTTATCAGGCACTCACTTTAAATACTTTTATGTCAGCTAAAGGCGTTCTCCGGAATAAGGGTCTATAGAATTACAGTCCCTGCAGATCGTGTTAAACGAACCACTGTTCAAAATTTCAAGTGATTGTGCAAACATTGTGGAGACGTACAAATAAAGGTTAACGTATTTAATATAAATTTTCAAAATAATAAAATAGGAATCTAGCTTCACTTCACGCTTGTTATTTACGAGACAAAGTGATGTTTAATGTGTAACAATGTCAAAAATTGTGATTTTACAACATTACATAACAATAACACCATATTGAGAGAAATTATGTCCTGTTTCAGCCCCTCTAGATTTCATACGTAATCATTGTATATTATAAATGGCCGAATACTACTAATACGAGAAGGAATGTGCTGTTGTCGCACCACCGGTTTGTTGTTTTTGTTAGTGTTTTTTTTTTAAATCGTGCACCTAAAAAAAAGAACCGTTGGAGTATACCAGATCCATGACACTGTAACAAGGAAACGTGTTACAGTATAATGGATCTGGTATACTCCAACGGCTCTTTTAGGAAACTTGTTACAGAATCATGGATCTGGTATACTCCAACGGCTCTTTTTGGAAACTTGTTACAGAATCATGGATCTGATATACTCCAACGGTTCGTTTTGGAAACTTGTTTCAGTATCATGGATCTAGAATACTCCAACGGTTCTTTTTGGAAACTTGTTGCAGTATCACGGATCTAGAATACTCCAACGGTTCTTTTTTTCGGTGTGGGTTCTCTCCTCTGTGATGTCAACTGTCTGACCTCTTCCTCGTCGACTTCGCCGTCCTCGACGTCTGCGAACTCGCTGCCGGCGTCGCTGAGCTGCGCGTTGTCGGAGGGCGCGGTGTGTGTGTGGTTTTCCATCACGGGGTCGCCCAGGAGCTGCAAGAGGCGCTGGCGGGCCCGGCGCTCCACCTCCTCCGACTTGTGGTGAAGCACAGGGTCCTGCGGGATTGAATAATCGAAGCCAAATCTTACGCACACATCGGCTGAATTCGACCTAGTTGGCAGGGTAGAGTCGAAAATCTCGCCACTGTCGGGACTCCAATGTAGGACCTCCCGATTAGAGGCACTGCAGTGACATGAGTTGATGCCCTGGACCCGTGTTTACATGTGGTCCTGATGGAAACGCCTTCCATAAGGTGCCATAATGGTTTACCTAACCTTGAAAATCTAATTTACAGCCTTTTCCAATTCATAGCACTAAAATTCGCCATGATATAGGGCAATAACGCCATAGCTTCCATACGGTGCTGCTCCACAAGGTTGAAGAGCAATGAGAATGCTGCGGATTGTAGAACTGAATCTGTGCATGTGCTAGCGAGTGAGGGAGTATTTAATCTTTTCGGGCGCGTCAACGACTGTGGTCATTTGACACGTAAGTTCATTTGCAGTTTTAGCTGGGAGATGTTGGTGTTCCCCTCACACTAGTGCGAGAGTTCTGCCGTCAACTTACATGTCTCGCCCCTCCAGATAGTTCCCCTGGTGGGACACCGCTCCAAGTAGGACAATTTCACCTTCAGATAGTTCTCCAGTGGGACACCGCTCCAACTGGGACAATCTCATCTTCAGATAGTACCCCAGTTGGACACCGCTCCAACTGGGACAATCTCATCTTCAGATAGTGTCCCAGTGGGACACCGCTCCAACTGGGGCAATCTCACCTTCAGGTAGTACCCCAGTTGGACACCGCTCTAACTGGGACAATCTCATCTTCAGATAGT